CTCTCTCTCTCTCTCTCTCTCTCTCTCTCTCTCTCTCTCTCTCTCTCACTCTCACTCTCTCTCAAAAATAAATAAAACCCCCCAAAAAAAATTAAACCCAAAGATGCATCCGTCTTTTCCACGTGTTATTTTTTTTCCCCCTTTTTTTTTGTTTCGTCATCTCCTCCCTTGGTCTTCGTCTCCTTCAACAATTCCCGTTTTTTTTTTGTTCTTTTCTCTCATATCTCGCCACCATGGAATATATAATCAGGAATGGGCACGTATTATGGATTTACGAATACTATCACACGCGTATGCTGAGGCATTTATGAAAGTCGAAAAATCGATGTCTAAATTTTCGCGATTACAAAATACGTCGGAGAGAAAAAAATAAGACCTGATTGTTCGAGCGACCCTCTCTACGCGGCGCGGATTCGTTTTCGAAGAATTACGTACGCAGGTTTTAAACTCAGTTCTCGCTTCGATTACTAATCAAAAGAGGCTAAAGGAAAGAAAAAAGATACAATAAAAAATGAAAACAAAACAAGGAAAAAATGAAAATCGAACTCGATTCAGACTCGCGCGGTTCGAACAAGGATTCTTCTACTACATTCTTGTCATGTATCAGCACACGAGTCACGAGACGATACACTCTTGATTTAAAACGCCATACTCCGCAAATCACGTATAATAATATTATCTACAAAAAACGTTATGATATGATTACAAGTCCTAGCTGCTTAATTTATACCCTACATCTTTTTTCACTTTTTTCATTAACCTTACGCGTTTTAGGTCCTGCTCACTATGTACGAAATGAAAAATATCAATAGTTCGTCGTGATTAAAACGTGATGTATTGACAGCTCTACCGTGTGGGAACCTATACTGTTACAATCGTATATGTAATCACGCAATGGCGACAATTGATAATGATAGTTAATGATAATAATGAGTAATCGTAATAATAATGATGATAATAATAATAATCGCAATTATAACAATAAGTAATATTAATAGACGGTACTTATCGATAATAAAAAATATGAGAATGTGATGTAAAAACAATTTTACAGCCCTCCGACGAACGGAGACTTAATAAAGTAAAATGACAGATTTAATCTCTAAACCGTGGAACGGAACACATTCGTGAACAGGAATCAAAATAAACAACGAATGAATGACGAACGTTAACAATTCGATCGTAGCACACCACCGATATCGTGTGCACAAAACACTTTGCCATTTAAATTGTATGTTTGTTTATCATATTTATTTTCTTCTTAATTCCTTAGCTTAGTACCATTGTTTCTCTCGCGTCGATATATATGTGTTCATTATATATATATCACCTTATTACGACCGATAAGCTTTTATTTGAATGAAACTCTGTCAGTAGCAACGCACAACGTGTATTAAATAATATTCGTCGGTTTGACACAGGTCGTACGTTGGTATCTCTCAGCATCCTTTCGTCCTCTTATTTAATTATCATTTTTCCCCTTTATTTTTTTTGTTTGTTTGTTTAAATCCCCATTCTTATTTCGGCAATCGACAAGGATCCTCGCTTTGTGTACTGAGCCCCTTAACGGTATACAACTTATCCTCTATTAGTTGTATTGTAACAAATATTGCCTCGAATATAAACATTTTTTGTTTGTTTGTTTGTTGCTTATTTAAGTTATATCTCATTTTGTTTAGGTCTCGCTCTCTCTCTCTCTCTCTCTCTCTCTCTCTCTCTCACGATTATCAATGGACAAAAGTGGCGAATTATTCTCACGCATCTTAAAGAGGGGGGCGGGGCCGGGGGGGGGGTTCTCGGAGGGGGTGTGTGGAGAGTAACGTAGCTCATTCGTGTTTTTCTCTTTCTCTCTTTATTATCTTACGTTACGTATGGCCGAGTCATGAGTCTCTATATTTATTTAGTAGTCATTTGGTTCGCTTCGAAAAACACAACGTTTTACTTTATTTATCTTATTACTTTTTTTTATTTTCTTAATATCGCTTTTAAATCGGAGATCTAAAACCTTTTCATTATAAAAATGTCCCCCAGGCCCGACAAAATATTGCCGAGGGACTTCGCTAATATATTGTGTGTCGTCGACTTCATTGTCTTCATATAAAATTCAATTCACAGTCCGCGATCTGATCAATAGTGTACGAGGTGCTTGAAGTGAAATTTAACCATCGTTTCGGTCGTTCTCTCTTATTTTCTCTGTCTCTCTCTCTCTCACTTCTTCTCTTTATTTTTCCTTCTTTAAAAATCACCACCATCGTTTCATTTTCTCAGTGTCTTTCAGCAAGTACGGGTAAAACCGAGTCGTCGTCGCAACCTGAACACTACAGCTTGGGTGGGGCAGGGAAACTTCATATTACATCTTCTCGCTCCCTCTTTCCTCGAAGAAAAGCAAGGGGAACGATAAACGGTTCTCTTTTCTCCTCGTCGACGAACACGAGTCAGTTATTTTCATCATTTCCTTCCCATCTCTTTCGGATTGCTATCGAGACTCGCGAGAAGCTTCCTCGCGTGCGAAACTTCACGTTCTTTCCTTCACGAGCGCGGTTCCTCGAGAGGCGAAACAGAATTTTGAGAAAAGTAGAAATCTGCGCGTGTATCGTAGGCAGAGAGAAAGATCAGTCCCGATCTTCAGCAGAAATTTTAAATTCCATGCTGAGCTGTCAACTCTCTATCCAGCCGGTTTAGCTGAGGTGTCTCACCTAGAAAATGTCTACTTAAGCGTCAGTGATCACTTGTTTCGACAATTAACCAATGCTTTCTTCTGAAATTTCCAAAAACCTGTCTCGAGACAACGTCTAGTGCACTCGGCGATACACATAAACTCACCTTTTACCTAGAAAATGTCCATTTGAGTCCCACTGTGTACTACTGATTTCCCTCAACAATTTACACACATTTACACTATCTAACGAGGGAGTCACATTTTTAGGGTGGTGACTCTCGCTAATCTCTGTTTTTTTTAAAACGCATTTTAAGCCAGAGCACGTGTCTTTTGTACTTGGAATATAAATAAACTCATTCCACTCTTTTCGTTTACTTCAGTTCTAAAAGTAATGCAATTCTCGACCTGCGGAGAGTTGAACAGAACCTGATCCTTACTCTTTTTCTAAGGTACACGCAGATGTGTGTATACAAAAGAACGCGACAGAGCTACAGAATCGGAGAATCGTGTTGGAGCAAAGAGATTCTCGCGAGTCAGAAGCGCTGAATCGCGCCGTCGTCGACGATGCACTCGCAGGCTGCGTCGATGAGCTTCTTCAACGTTCTCGGAGCACGATTGATTCAGATCCTCTGGAACACTCTCTGTTGACACTATATCCAGGGTGTAGTTTCTAATGGTCGATAAGGAACCTCCGATTTATTGGATCCCATGAAATGGACAACGAGGAACGCGATGCACTCGGTCTCGAAATCGTGGAGGTGTCTTTCACGGTTCTTATCGCGTGTACGGGTGCCTGCGTGCTTGTGTCCGTGTCTGTGTATGTGTGTGGGTGTGTGTGCACGTGTGAGGGGGAAGAAAATAATCGCCGCCGTGCGAAACGTCGTTCACCCTGAGGTTGAGTTCGTGGAATATTCGAGCGAGGATCTGCCAGTTACTCGATCGCAGAGATGGGCAGAACTTTAGTTGTGTGTAAGTGCATCTAATTTCGGTGGTAACCCAGTCATCGATGGTTTAGTAATTGATAGCATTTTATTTTCATTTTTGGTGGACATGACAGATACGGGATCACAAACGATGATAGCCTCGGTGACAAGAGTGAAATATTCAAACTTGAAGTCAACTAAACGAGGTGTAAAAAAGCTATGAATTCGATGACTAGGACAAAATTTTGAATACAAAATAGACTGTTATTTTCGTAAATCTGTAGAATATACTATCAACACCCCCATAAAATAATTATTCAGAATTTTCTATACACACTTCAAACGACTCATCCGTAAGTTATTTGGATAAGCTTCAAGGCACAATCTGATTGTACATTTCAGATTGCGACTTTAAATTGAACGAGCAACGAATCGGAAGTTGTTTATGCTCTTTTCGTTGTTCGACGCTTTTTTGTTAATTTGCCCATCCCTGTTCGAGGTTTACCTGCGGATCTCTCTCGGTTCCACTCGTTCATCCCATTATCGTCCAACGGACTTCCATCGGACGGCGGCCTCTCCCGAGCTATTATTTACACAGACGATCCTTCACGATCGATCCTCGCGCGTCCCACGGAAGGAAAGAAGTTACCGCGAAGAACGCTCGCCGCGCGCCCTCTCGAGAGCGACGAAGAGGATACGCGTCGCCTCGACATTAATACTGACACTGACAAGGCGAGGACCTGATCTGTCTCCCATTGACTTCAACATGATCCTGCAGGATGATCGAAAAAGGTACTTGTTGCAACGTGAAGAACAACGACTGTGGATGCTCGATAATTGCAGAGATGTAGATAATTACAGCTGTGTATGTACAGTGAAATCTGTTGTACTGCTTTCCGCAACAGTGGAGTTTTAGCTGCAGATTTCTATAAGGTATTCCAAAAGTCTGGGGTCACATAGGAAATGTTAATAAATATCATACCTGGTAAATTTCTTTCAGTCGCTATGTGACCAGACTTAGGAACGCCTTGATATTTAGTATCGTACAGGGGTATGTTACTCTTTTATTTTTTACATGGGTTTCCCGTTTATAGAATCATTACTCAGTTCTACCATTCGTGCCACAGAGGTCTTCATGTAAGATCAACGTCCTCTAATCACTTATATCTCTAGAATTATAGAGAATCCACGTCTAGCGCCCTACGCGCTCCTAAACAGAGCCATATACTTCGACTTCATGCAAGTGGACCTTGAAATCGAAAGTAGACGCACCGAGTCCTCCCTTCGCAAAGTATGGCAAGCGAAAGCAATCGACTCCGGGAGACATCCCGCCAGCTGCCCTACAGAGGGAGGAACTCTCTCGCCTCTTAACCATTCTCGTTCGAAGAAGGGACCTTCCCGAAAGCCCTTTTCCTCAGACCAAGTCGATACCTCCGCCTGCCAAACCATAGGTTCGCGGCTGGTGACGGTGGCCCTCTGCGCGGAGTAAGCACGTATACCCGGACCTCGCCGAAACAACAGGAAGAAAACCGAAAAACGAAGAAAGGAGATGAAAAGAAGAAAATAATAAAGAGACACAGAGCAGTGCTGTAATCGGAAACATCGCTGCCTCTCGATTCGTCGCCTGACTTCGGCTGGCGAACGTTCCACGGACGACGCTTTCGGGCCACGAGCCTTGGCCCGATCGACGCGCACGTTCCACCCTGTCGACGACGTGATGAATTCCTCGAGTTCTGTCGAGCACCGTGCCCCAAAGACGATTTCGCTCGTTGGTCCTCGGGACTGCGTCGAGGTTCGAACCCCTCGAATAGTAAAGTTTTTCGTCCAGCGACCAGCTGGGTTGTGACCGCTATCTTGCCAGGTTTTGGTTACGAGTCGAGGAGGAGTAGAAGAAGACGTTGACGAGGCTGATTGTCCCCGTACGCCGGATAGGCCCGCTCCTCCCCTCAGTACGGCCAGAACGTAGGCAGCGGGGGCGGCGGTGGCGGTGGTACGGTCGGATAGAGCGTCGGCGTGGCGATCAGGACGCAGGTGGGCGGCAAAGGCGGCGGCACGGGCGGCGGTAAGACCGGAGAAAGTGTGATCGCTGCGGCTGGGTGCAGGGCCGTGCCCGTCGGGGCACACAACGGGTGCAGGGCGAGAGAGGGACGCTGGCGCTGACGCTGACGCTGCTGGCCCTGGACCTCGCCGTTCTATTCCGAGTCCTGCTGCATTTTGGCGTGGCCATTACCGGCGGAATTGCTCGATGTGCTGCCGCTGCTTGGCGGGAAACTGGTGGGTATGGTGCGGGACGACGAGAAACACAGCTTCATGATGTACGGGAACTTCCCATCTGAAACAAATTTCGAGAAAACGGTTAGACGATCCTTGGACGATGGATGGTTTCATGTTTGGTGGATGCTTGAGTTTGGTAGACGTTTTGATGTTTGGTAGAGGCTTGAGGCAAAGTGACATCTTTCTCAGAAGCTTAGGAATGTTTTTTAAAGTGTAACAGAGTCTATAATTTATGCAATCAAATTTAACGAAATGCTGGAATATTATATTTGCAAACTGATTATCCGAGTATTTTCTATCAAATGTTAAGGGATTGTTTCAAAGGCTCAGAAGTGGACTGACACAATTGTATAAGTATACTGTATGTCTAACTTGATAACGTCATTAAAATATTCTTTCAATAGGATTGGTCAAATTCTGGCAATGAAAAACCATCATCAAACATCATGAAACGTCATCAAACAGCCATTGTTAGTAGAGAGTACAGTTTTGGTTAGCGAATCTGTATACTTACTGCTGTTTTCCAGCGCTGTGTGATTGCATTCCATGATGGCGGCTACCGCAATTCCGACGCTGCTGAACTCGATAAGGCCAGACGACGATCGTTCCGATTTGAGGGGGAACAGCTTCACTGTCGTTGGCGCCTCGATGCCGCGTTCGACGAACACACGGTGCACTGTCTCCTCGGTTAAATCCGGGGGAGTGTTGAAAAAGTGGACTATCTTCGAGGGTGGTTGTATTCTGTTCTTATTGGCCATTGCTGGATTTAGGAACCTGCAATTGACAACGACAGGCATTCACAGATTAAATTTCTGTCTCGCAAAACTAGAACATTTCTAAATTCCTACTTTAAACATATAACTTGTTTAACTATATTAATATAATATTCATTAAGTTGTTTATATAATATTTTTAGATTATATTTTCTATTTGATTGTTAATGATTGTTACATGTTAACTTTGTATAGCAGGGTGGCTAACAGTCGTTGTTAACTTTGTATTCCTTAAATTCTTGTAGTGTTGCTTTTAGCTTCCTAGTTACTTTTAGTAAGTTTCTTTTTATGAAATAGTACATTTTCTTTTATTCCACTTCTTAAATTTCTATTAAGCATATACTTTTTCCTTTTTTAAATTGAATTACGTAAATAAAGAATGATGCCAAGGTACCACTACAATTTAAAAAAAAAAAAAGGAATATTTCTAACAAAGCTATCCATCAACACAAGTCTGCACCTGTTTTAGGATTAAATCGTTCCATGGTTAATCAACATATCGGTGTTGGTGGAAGTGTCAGTAACGCGTTCCATCGCAAACAGACGAACCGATTTCCGAGTTCAAACGGGACAAAACTATTTCCGGCGTGCATTCAAATTCCTTTTGGGACTCCTGAAGGCTCGTAATTAATTTCTCGCAATCAGGATCCGCAGACTGCCCGAGCAGGCACGTCCAAAAACCCGGACGCAATTAAGTTTTCATCGAGTAAATATTACTATCCGAGGGAAGGCTGAGCCCCGAAGCTCCCGGAAGGAAGAACATCATTAATTGCTATACATCGAGACCAGGCTCTATACAGAGTTTTCACCAACAAAAAACGATCGTCTCAATGCCCTGTACCGAATCGCAGGCTTCTCATTAACGTTCATTCAGCGACGCGACGAGACCCGAAGTTGATTAGAATCGAAGCAGAATTTCGCGTGACCGATACAACTTTGAAAACCAGCTCGCCACTGTCGGTGTTGGGAGTTAAACGGCTACGTTCTCAGTCGATTGGTCGATTGAAAAATTGATTGTAATTAAGCTTCGAGTGGCTTCAATTCCAATTGGGAAGGGAGATTTCAGTTGCTATTAACTGTGCGATTGCAAGTGCATGTGAAAAGTAAAAAGTGAGATTCTAATTGCAATGGAGGACTAATTGTTGAACTTCAGATGCATGTGATAATTGATTAATTGATTCGAAAGTACAATAAGTATGAAGTTAACAGGAGGTTTGCTGAACGACTATATTAAATTTCAAATCGATCGGGATAATAGTTCTCAGGATACAGTCGATAAGTGTCGTAGAGTCAAGACTGTGACGCGACACTTATCGACGAGTCACTGTATCTTGAAAACCATCAACTTCGATCGACTTGAAATTTGATATAACCATTCGGCAAACGTTCTGCTACTAATATAATAGAACCTCACACATTTAATTTTGTTTACTGTATCTTATTACACTGAAAAAAAAACCAAGTCACATTTGTGAACGAAAAGTGAAATTCCTCTTCAAAACATCACGTTTTCAACAATTTTCAATGTTATGTCTACACTCGAGATTCTAGTAACTCCTTTCTCGTTTGTATTCCTAACAACTACATCAATGTACGATAAACACACTAGCCTCTTACGATACCTTGCGTATATTCGTCTAGCTCCTACAAAATTATATACACAGACCCACAAAAATACACACAGCTCCTAGAATCGTACACAACAGATTCCTCCCGAGTTTCGTAGTTATACCATTCACATTCCCTTAAAGAAATTCTTGGAATTTTCTCCCAACTCAGAATGCCGCCTTAATGATACGCCGTGGACGAATAGCGAATCGAAAGCGACTATGAAGAAAACTGGAAACGAGGTCGACAAGCCGAATAGGGGGAGAACATAACCAGAAAAGAGGCTAATCCGAAAATAGTAGCAAGAAGAAGGAAAGTAGAATATTCTAGTAGACAGGGGTGTTACCTGTTATTCTTGCTTCCCGTGAAATCCTTGAAGCTCGCTGTCTTGTCGGGCAGAATATAGGGGTTGGTGACGTCTGAGAGGAAAGCCTGTTTCGAAAAGCCTAGCTGCAACCTGCCGTCCGTCCCGATCGTCACGTTGTTCAGATTCTGTAAACACCGCTCTACAGCTATGCTGTCGCCCATCTGGATCATTGCGCATCCCTCTTTCGTCTTCAAGAACTTGACCTGAGAACAAAACGTTCAGCTGGCATTAGCAAGCGCCCTTTGCTGCTGAAGTAGTGTACACTTGCCAGCTTTTGGCTGTAGCTCAAGGCTTTGCTTTAAAGCTTCCGGCCAAAGGTGGAGGTTCGTGTGGTGGTTTGGTGGGGGAGCAGTCTGCTAATTTGGAGAATGGGCGAGAGTTTTGGATGGCTTTAACACGTTGACTGTCAGACTAAAACTTGTAAATATTACTACAAGGTTAATATTTTGTCTCGAAGCAATTGAAAATTAGATAATCTATCATTTGTCGTAGTATTTCATTTTTCAACTCCTCCAAATTTACTATTTAAATTTAATATTCAGATGAAATCAGATTAATAAGAAATTTAATATTCAGACTTATTTTTATTAATCCCTCAACTTCGGAATTCATTTTTTCAATACCTTAATGAAAAATCCTGTCGCCCAATTCTGGGTGACGTGGCAGTCGACGTGTTAATTATTAAAAGCTTTACAGAATTAATTTTGTAATTTTAATTCCTCTAGCACAAGTAATTCCAAATGCTGCGAAAGTATCAGATGAAAATATTGCTAAAGTAAATTTAGATGCCTCGAATACGGTGGTGGGGGCAGCTGAAGTGGTAGGGGAAGTAACTCTGAGGAGCCAAACGATCTAGCATCGATCCTAGCAAGAGACGTACCTTCGTCACGTTTCCGTATAGGCAGAACAAATTGAAGAGCTTGTCGGTGTTGACTTTGTCCGGTTGCAGGCCGTAAACCATCATCACGGAACCCTGCGTGCTGGAAGGTGGTGTTTGTCCCAGGGTGGGCACGTAACCAGGCCGCGGTGGCGTGGGATGCAATGGCTCTCGACCGCTAAAATCGCTCTTGATACCATAACGCTCAACGTACGGCTCCGCATACGTTGCTGGTCCATTGAAATTCTCCTCGTAACGATCGTGGCCGGCACCCGGGGGGAAAGTTACCTGTGGCGTGGATCCTGAAACAAAGGGGAGGATATTTGATGTCTTTCGTCGGGCGAACTTTCCATTCAGGGCTCTCGTTTCCGACCATGTTCGACCGTTCAGTTCTGGCTAATCACGGAAATCGAGCGACGCTGCGTCCCCTCCATTCGTCGCGCGTCGAAATGGTAGCCGTCGGCGAATTAATCGAATGGAGACGCGTTGGGCATGGTGAAAAAAACGAAGGAAATTTTTCCTTTGTTACTGCATCGCGTTTTGTAATTGCGGAGGTTGTGTATGAATTTTATATAAATTGGTAGCAGAGATGATGGATATAGTTAATTTTAGTAAGCTAATTTTGGTGTTTTGGACAAGAGTTTTTGAGGATCGTCAATGATAAATGAAAAATAATCATGGAATGAAGTGTTGGTAACAGTGGTTATAGCGAAGAAAATTAATTTTATTGTCTCGATCAAGGGTCTATTTATATATGAATATTTATTATTTAATATATAGTATTTTAACACGTAATGATATGAAATTTAAACTAACTTTAGTATCGAGAGCAACATCAAAAGAAATACTTTTAAAATAACAGAATCGATAAGTGAACAATCATGATTTATTGTAAACGTAACTGTATAAATATCTATAAATATTACCACTGTGTTAGGTTTATGTCAGCCTGAAGTGGTAAAGTAGATTTGAAGTGATTGTAATGGGTCCAAGAAGGTGTAAACTTCCAAGTGAAAATATCCTCCAGCCAACTTGGATAATCGCGAAAGTTCGAAGCGACACAAAAGATTGTCTACCGAAACGACAATTTAGCTCGATACAAACTCGATACAGTTGTTTCCTGGCAGCCCAGCTAGGGATCGATCAAGAAACTCGTCCATTACTGGAGGTACCTCGTATTGGCTGCTATTCTTTAAGCTAACGTCTCTACCACTGAGATTGGGTTTCGTTCCCAGTTATAGTTCCTATGGTTCAATCGCGACATAACTTCGCTACAATTACGTCATCGATTTCCTGTCAAAATATCTTCGGTCTGGTTGCCCCGCTCTGCGACTTACGGTAATAACTTCCGAGCACTAACATGGCGGAAACGTAGTCCCCTGCCACTAGACTTGTAAATTACGTAATTTACACATAATGCAATAACCCGTTGTTCCGTGTAGCGATACGGTGTATCGGTGCAGATCATTTTCAACGCTGTGTAACGTCGACTGAAAACTGTTTACATAATTCCAAATCACTGTTTGCTCCTACGTTTGTCTCCGGGAATCGAACGAGCATGATAGAATGATCAAAGTGCTTTTTGTTGCTTCAGGTACAACGAGGTTGCAAACAAGAAATAAATAACGTATCTTAATATTGAATTAAAATACTGCAATAATGATTTCGTAAATAAATCGGAGTTAGAAATTTCCAACCAATCTCGAAAATGGTTATTCGAAGATTTAAATTAATTCCAAAGAGATGAACGCAAACCCTGACTGATGATTTTACACAATATTCGTATGTATCTTGAAGACTACACAAAAATTTGTTTAATTATATATACATGTATGTATAAATCGTTATTGAACACTGTTTATGAAAGTATCATTTGTAAGACGTTCTACTGGTCTCGCATTGATCTGATCTTCAAAAATAATTCCAATCTTCGTATATTAAAGTTTTCTAGGAAATGGTCAATCAAGAAACCTCTACTTTTGAATTAATATCGCGAAAAAGAAATATGTAAATATTATCAACAACACCAAATGAATTCTCGTATTCTTCAAGATACACACAAACATCGTACTTTCGCTTGGAAATAATTCCCTAAAGCAGATTTCAAAATTTTTTAACATTTCCCATTCCCTTCAAACAGAGTGGTACAATTATTCCACCCACGTCGCTAGCCTGCCCCTAGGACTTATCGATCCTAACTCCTGCGTAACATTTTCCCACATTTAACGAGAAAAATCCCGTAACAACCTCTTCAACGAGCCATTCACGAATCGCACCGATCGGGGAATCGCTTCTCGCCCAACTTCTTCCTCCCAGCCGTGCGATTAGGAGGGCCCTCGAGCCTCGCGCGATGGCCGGGTGATGGTCCCAGGAAAAAGGAAAGTTTCGCGATCGTCGTACACCCCGTCCGTTTTCCAAATTGGCTCGCTCAATTCGACTATCAAAGAGCGAGAAACAGCGGCGGTTGGGACCTTCGGGGAGGAGAAAACTTACCGTATGGCTGGGGCGCGGCGCCGTATCTGGGTTCCGCCAAAAGGGGAGCCGGTCTTCCATTTCCGGTCGTGTCATTTTTGTGTGCACTCGATCCTGTAACAGCGTAAACGTATCTCGTTTATTTCCCATTGCACCTGCAAACGTCTGCCGTCGATACGATGATCTCGATCGACGTTACACGAAACCGTGCTCGATTGCGTTTCGCGTAATCGCAAGAAAGAAACGAGCTAACGACCGAGAGATACCCGAAAGCGAGACTCGCGTGCAAAAACGGCATCCGTCGGTCGTGTCTCGATACCGTCCGAATGAATTCGTAATACGTTATCAGAGTTAGACGATCGATCCCGGTTTCCGCCTGCGTTACGAGTTAATCGATTCCCCCGCGAATCCTCAATATCCACCCCCTCGACCAACCCCCTCTCGTTGGAGATATCAGGCCTTAAGAAATTCACGAGACACGGTTATTCGTCGTACCATTACGGTCCCGTCCGGAACGACCGACGGGACGTAAAGCGCGATACGCGACTACTTCACGTTGTCTCCTAGGACATGGTACTGATAACCCCGGCATCGTGGGACCCGATACAGACGTCCCAGGACCGAGTGACACAATACCTATGACTTCGGACTCGCCGTAGGACCGGATTATGCGAGTGACCCCGGAAACATGGGACACACACGACGCCAGACACGCGCCAGTCGGATCCTAGGGACCCTGTACCGACGACGTATCACTCGATGGACGTTAAAAGCGATCACGGTCTCGCGAGACCTGATACAGACGTCTCTGGGTCGGACTGGAAATTTGGGACTCGTAGGGGGTGGCGTGAACCCAGGCAGGGGGTCGATGTACGGAGGGGGCGATTTTGTCGATGAAGATGTACGCAAATGTTTATTGGTGTAAAGTATGAAAGATGTTCCGAAGCCTCAAGGGAATCGAACATTTGTTTTTTTAAATTAATGGTTGACCATTACACTTCTACTTTTTTTTTTTTACTAATTAACAGACTTTTAAGAAAAGGTTTTAGGAACGTTCATTCAAAATGTTAATGAATACCCCTCATAATTTGAGAGTTGTACTAATATAAACAATATGGGCTCCGATGTAAGAGATGGAAGCATCAACGAAAGGAACCGTCTCATAAAAATCGACGATGATCACAAAATTCTCTCATACTTGATTATTCTATGGGAATAAACAAGGGGATCGCAAGAAAAATTATTTTGCGAAAGTGGTCGCCTTTTCTAGCAAAGTAAGTTTTCTAATAAAAAAATTAGCTGGTCTAAAGAATTCTCAATCGAAAGAAACTTTTGATATAATCTTGCATCCCATCATTCGCAAATTCCATAAAAGATCTTATCATCGAGTGTTGAAATAAATCCTGACTTGTTACAAGAGATCTTTCTCCCAAAGCTTACCTTAGGAGTAAGTGATATACGTGTCACCTGGTGGAGGTATTCTTGGGAAGTGGAACGATCCGAGGTGTCCACGAGGTACGGAGACCAGCTACTCCACTCCGTGGGTGGTTATGTCTCTTAATGACAATGTAAACACAGTCGAGCCAACGGTCTCTAATGACGTTTGTGTGTACACCTGGCTTGGTACTTGTGTTCCATTAACCGTGTCAAAGTAGGTGCTGCCAGACAAGATGGTACACCAGGCAATTGATAATATTGTGTACAGATCTCTCAGTCACAGGTGTCGCGCAAACGGTGTCGAAACTTCTAACACAGGTGTTGGAAGTGTTCTTCAGGAGCCTGATCTTTCAACACTGATCCTCACTCCCGAATACCGATGATCTTAAACTCGATGCACTCGATATACATGAGCCGGGACTTGGGGAACATAATGAAGTCCTGCAGGGATCCGTGACACTCGATACAGATGTGAAAAAAATGTTGATTAATGATACGAGTGTATTAATATTATATTGTAGGAGTCTAAACGAAAAATAAGGCACGGGGATTCGAACCCACGATCCTCGAATCCACAGGCGACCGCTTTACCTACAAGACCAATCCCGTACCCTACGTTTCGTGTTCTTATTTAACTCCTTATTGTTGGTATGGGAGGCGCGGACACCACAATATTAATATTAATTCATTAAGAATCTTGCTTTTCATAAAGAGATGAGGATGCGATTGATATATTCCATTAATTAACCTTCGTTTAGCATCTTCAGCTCACTTCTAAGTCTTAAAATACTAGAAAGCCACTAGTTCAGATTAGTTTGAGCTCCACAGACACAGAGACGCCTCCTTTGTTCCAATAGTTCCAACTTGTTCTGGATCCTACAACTTCAGAGTCGTCGATACAGTATTCCACAAGTTCATCATTCGTATTAAGTCTTGGGAGTTCCTCGCCGGCTGCGGAAGACGTTTCGGATTGATGGATGAAAATTCACCGCGAGGAACGCTCGCCTTCCTCCAGCAGAATCGAAAGACAATCGATAATCTTCCAACGTCTGCGTTCTGTGCCACGGGAAACTTTACAGAAACTTCGCTTATAGACACGCGCACACTCGTCGCAATAATACAGAATAATGCAATAGTAAGTTTTCCGAGAAGATCGAGAACGATCCTCCAATCGAGGAATCTCGCTCTTCGTAAATTAAAAGTTGAGAAGACGAGGACTGAGGTCTTTCCGTTCGCATATTTCGTCGACTATATGGCTTCTGTTCATCGTCTTCGCATCGCTGTTCAGAGCTTATTTATAGGACCTCGAAGCCATGATTGGTCTAACTCTCGTAGCAAGGTTTGTTCTGTCAACGTCAGTGTCGAGCCTATTTCCGAGCAAAACTCCGATTTACCTTGTAATCTATCTTCTAGTAGACGTTCTAATTCCAGAACCGAAGTACATAATTGCTCCATGCAGGCCTTTAGCTTCGTCTTCATCCTCCGAACAAAGTCAGCTCCAAATTGGCGAGGTCAGGTGTCACTCCTGCAACGTCAGCTCTCAAATTTCACCGGATCCTATCTCTGGTCCGGAGTTATGCGAGCAGAGTTCCACGAGTTCAGATTTGTTGTTGATAGTCATACGACTTCCACAAGTTTCGAAGTTGTGTCTACTACTCCTACTATTTCAAAGTCGTCGTTCCTCATCGGAATTGTTATCGAATAATAAGTGGATTATTTAACCCTTTGGCTCACGTTTACTGTAGAATCGTGCGTGCCATAATCAGGTATAAAATTCCTTGCGCATTTTCGTACGACGTGTCTAACCGTGTCTTCCATATTCTACTCAAATTCTTTACCACGAGTCTCCCGCGTTGTTATAGGTTAAAGAGTTAACACGTGTACCACCGGTTGTACACGCAGACATATTTATTTAATTCGCTGAAAACATATATTTTATGGCAAATTTAATTCTGTAAAATATATTCCCACGAAAAGAATGAAGCACAAGTGGTACACGATGCGATAATGCTCTAAACAAGCTAACTACATATGGATCGATGATGTAATGAAATATCGTGTGATGATGATATCAATCTTTAGTGAAAACATCAAAAGACTGATCGACAACAAGTCGGGGAAAAACGGCTTGGCATGGCACGGAACGTGTTAAGTGGGTAATCGTATTCCAAGAAGTTGTTCAAGTTGTTTCAAGATTGTTCTTGAAGAAGCGAAACAGGTGGTTTTTGCAATCAATGAATGATGTTAACATTCCCAGGTCCTCCTTCATTATGCATGCAGGTACTACTATAGTATAGCCGTTGCAAGAAGCTCATACTATTATGCATATACAGTCAGTTCTATAAGTATTCGTACCCCCTATGTCTATTGAAGAAATTTGTCCAAGTTAAATGATAGGTTCGGCGATTTCAAATAAATTTTTCATTATAAATATATACATGAATAAACATTGCACATGTATATATTTATAATAAAACATTTATTTAGAAACAGCAAACCTATCACTTAATTTAGACAAATGTCTTCGATAGACACAGAGGGTACGAATACTTATAGGACTGACTGTATACCACTATACTGGTCTGCTTCTTTCTTATTTATTTCCTTAAAGCAAAATTAATTTTTTAGCGAGTTATAGAACTAAGAGCTTCGAGCAGCAATATATCGCTCCTTGCCACTCAAAGGGTTAAATACGAGAACATAACGGCTCTAATGGAACACAGCAATATTAAGGCTTTAAATTAAATATTATTACAAGAACAACAACACTTCCTAAAGATAACCTATTATACCAATTTAAACCAAATGATTTTCTGCTTTGCAGTCGCTCCATTTCCCCAAAGAAAGAGCTTAGCTGTTCCCTCCTCCTCGCGAAGATCTCCTAAAGTCTGCGGTTCTCATCAGCATCGAACAATTCGGTACACCAAGCTGAAGTTCCTCTACAGACACACTCCAACCGGTGGATGTTTCTGACAAGGGCCCCAAGCCGATTGTTTCTCCTTCGACTTCGATTTCCTCCAAACCTCTTAATCGAACCACTCCTCCCTCCAGCTTCCGGTGCACTTCGTCTGATACCGGCGCCCATGTGGTCTGTCAGATGTTTTCCTTCGGCCTGCTGCTGCCTGTCGCTTCCGAGATACAATCTCCCAGCCTTCGCCGAGACCAACGCCGTATACAATCGGTCTATATTAAACCGCATTACGTAACACGGCCACGGTTGCGTGGGTGTGCGAAGGGCGTGTTGGTGCCTCCAAGGCCTGGAGATATCGGCCAGGTTGCCGCTGCAGTCTACATTGATTTCGAATATTCGGTATCGTGTTGCAGACGTATCGGTGGCGGTGGCCCGTCGAGGACGATGCATCTTCATTCGGTTTGGACAGGTCCGTGCATCGGTTCCGGGACCGGTCGCGTCGATTCGATTACTCCCTGGACGAAAAAGCGTCGTTTTTCGTCCCGTCGAGTGGCTATATCCGAGCCGTTTTCCGAATTTGATAGCGAACAGGTCACTGGAAAACGTTTCTGGATGGGGAGACGTATGGCTCGACGAGATCGACTGCGAATCGAATCGAGTTTGGCTCTTGAACAGAATTACGATGTGGATTGGGTGTGTTGATGGCTGTTGACGAGGGGGCGAGGATTGGAAGATAGATTTCAAGGTTATTAATTTTCGGGATGAG